CTCTCTCTCTCTCTCTCGACGTCTTCCTGTGGTAGGAGTTGCAGACACGCAGTACCACCACGTCTTTCACCATGCGTCATCTGTCTGAAGAACAGGAGTGCCAGTCCGGGACAGGTTTCGAATGTCCTCAGCACGAAGCTCGTGATTGTGTGTGTGGCACCAGCACTTCGAATTCAAAGTCCTGTGCATTGTCGCTGTTGTTGTCAACCGCACGCATGTCTCTCCTTGTGTTTCCTGCTCTGTAGTACCGTGTAGCCACATCTGCCACGTGGGTATCGGTGTCGAGCTTGAAAATGCAGAAACTCATAACTGTGTCCCGGCTTCGGGCTGTGTTCACTATGTCGTTCTTTATACTGGCCATTTGCAGCAACTGATCCGACGCCTTGCTTAACTTCTTCGTCTGCTCGATTTCTGTGCGGATCACAAGTTTCGTAAACGCTAGTTGCTGCAACGTCACGCCCACCTTCTCACCGTCTTTTCTTATTTGGAACACTTTTGTGAGTGCCCTCTTGAAATGCGACGCTCCCCATGGCTCCTCGTCCTTCCTCCTCCACGTTTTGTCTTTGCTCATCTGGCAACGCAGCTCGTTGCGCATGGTGTTATTGTGATCCGTCTGTGCGCCGCGTACGAGGGGGACACCTCTCTCTGCCCAGAACCAGTGTCTCAAGTGCCAAGACAGCTCTCCGTGGACCGTTGTCATCATTCGGTTGCACTCTATGAGCACATTCCGCAAACCCTTCTTCTCTACATGCTTCCCCCATCCTGCCCTTACATCTTATCCCAAAAGGGTAGCAGCCAACTGCACCGCATTGAAGAAGTCGTCCTATGAAGGGTAGAAAGTTGCGTCCTTCGCTGTTGAGTGCACAAAAGCTTTCGTGACGGACCTCAGCAGTCTGTCTTTTTGTTTTTTTCCAAATAATTCGCTTTCCTCTCCTGTGGCAACCCCCAATTGCTTGGCCACCTTCGTATCGACCTTACGCTGTCTCCCTCCTTGTAATATGCACCGGCCTGCAACAACGCGCGCGAATACCCACAAGTTTGAAGTTGTCATGCACCCCATTCGCACAATGGCTTCACAGGAGAAACAACTGCAAATATGGTTAGTTATTTGCAGCGTATCTTAGATTTTCTTATCCTATAACGCATACAGTTCTCTACCATTTTGCACTACGTCCACACAACGACAACAGTTTGAGCGAAACAACATGTCGAGTGACTATTTGTTTTCATGTTTTTTTTTTTTTTTTTTTTTTTCCCTTTCCGCGACCATTCTGTACTTACGTCCTTCGTTTGCCTTCTCCTTCAGGACTAACTGCTTGTCCGCGTTGTTTTCCTCGCTGCGTCCGTCACTTGTTCCTCCATACGTTCTTCGAGACGTGTTTTGTGTATTGTCTTCGCTACATCTTTCTTCCGTGCCGCTGCTCCGGGATCGGTCTTCCTCCTCTTCATCGTCGTCATCACCATCCTCGTTGTTGTAGGACCCACTGTCGCTATTCTCCTCTTCGTTGCTCGTATCTTCTGCGTACGATTCTCCTTCGTTGCATGTGCCCTCGCTACGTCCACCGCCGCCCTCGGTATTATCGTGCGGGTCGGACTGTTGTGTCTTACGGACTGCGTCCTGTGACACGTCTGGTTTTTCTGTGTCGCCTGCCTCGACACCATCGGAACCCCTCAGATCAATTGCCTCCTTCTCCTCTCCCACCCCGTCAATGATTCTCCTCCTCTTCGGATTTTCGATGTTGCGCCGAGGTTGATCCTCCACCCCTTTTGCACATGACGTTTTCCTTGGCGCCCGTGGCGGGGATCGGTTGTGTCGTGTGCGATTCTTCACGGAGGCCGGCGAGGTGGGGGCCGAATCTCGTTGTCGTTTGTTACCTTCGGACTGTTTCGCTTTTTGTGGCTTCGTGACCGCAGCACGGTCCGCTCGGGACTTCATCAAAGGTGATGTCTTACTTTTTCCCTGGGGACGTCTCTCAATTTTCCTCTTCTCTTTCCTGACTGCAGTATGTTTGCTCTGCCGTGCTGGTGGCTGTCTTTCCCGTACTTGCAATAAGGATGAGGCAAGATCTTCGTACCTGCGGCGGGGTGCCATTGCAAAGCTACATGACACACACAACATTCCAGTTATGAGCTTTTTACTCAAACGCTCCATCATGTATAGACCACTTTACAATGCGATTCAGCCTGAACATTCTTGAAGGATATATATATATATATATATATATATATATATATATATATATATATATATATATATATATATAGATAGATAGATAGATAGATAGATAGATAGATAGATAGAT